CCTCTCTCTCTACCTCCCTGTGCCTCTCTCTCTCTACCTTCCTGTGCTTCTCTCTCTCTACCTTCTTGTGCCCCGTTCTCTACCTCCCTGTGCCTCTCTCTCTCTACCTTCCTGTGCCTCTCTCTCTCTACCTTCCTGTGCCTCTCTCTTTATGTGCTTTTCTCTCTATCTCTAGCTGCCATTAATGCACTCTTTCTTTTTCTATCTCAATCAGCTCCCTCTTTGCCGCCTGCCTCTCCCTCACTCTGTGTCCCTCATTCTGTCGTATTCCTGTGTGTGCTCTCTCTCTCTTTGCCTCAGTGTATCTCTCCCACTCTCAGGTCTATCTCTTTCCATCCCTGGGCTCCTTCTTTGCATTTTTTCCCGCTCTCCCTGGTTTTCCACGTCCCCCTTTGGTCTCTGTTGTGAAACTTGCTGATGAGCGGTTCAGGCATCAGCCTGAAATCGCTGGACTTCTCTTCCATTGCCAACTCTTGATGGTCTCCTCTGATGTTTCGTGCAGCTGCTGTATTTTGCCACGTGTTCGGTTTACTTTCCCAAAAGGCTGAGGGACTGAGCTTCTGCTGCATTCCACACGGTTCACACAATTTCCTTTTCTCTTTGCCGATCATGTTTCAGAATTCTCATTCAATGTGTCCTCAGCCGGACGAAGCAGTTAACCCCTTCATCTCATGATTCAGTTAAAGTGTAAGAAGATATGGAATCCTGTTGGACAAAATCCCTTTCCTGTGATTCACTGAGATGTGCCAGAGTTCTGAGGCACCTATTGCCTGGGATTGAATTCCGAATTCAATTAATGGGCTTTCAGAGGATCTGTACAGTGTGGAAGCAGGCCATTCAGCCCATCAAGTCCACACCGACCCTCTGAAGAGCATCCTACTCAGAAAAACCCCTCCCACCCTTTATCCCTGTAACCCTGCATTTCCCATGGCGAATCCACAGGAGGAAACTGGAGCACCCAGAGGAAATCCACACAGACATGGGGAGAATGTACAGACTCCACACAGACAGTCCATAAGACACAGGAGCAGAAATTAGGCCATTCAGCCCATCAAGTCTGCTCTGCTATTCAAGCATTTCTGCTATGTTTTTCAACCCCATTCTCCCACTTTCTTCCCATAAACCTTAATCCCCTTGACAAACAAGAACCTATCCATCTCTGTCTTAAATATACTCAATGACCTGGCCTCCACAGCCTTCTGTAGCAGTGAGTTCCATAGATTCACCACTCTCTGGCTGAAGAAGTCTCTCCTTATCTCCGTTCTAAAAGGTCTTCCCTTTACTCCAAGGCTGTGCCCTCAGGTCCTAGTCTCTCCTACCAATGGGAATATCTTCCCAACATCCACTCTGTCCATTCAGCATTCCATAAGTTTCAACTAGACACCCCCCACCCCATCCTTCTAAACTCCATCAAGTATAGGCCCAGAGTCCTCAAATGTTACTCATATGTTAAGACTTTTATTGGGATCATTCTCATGAACCTCCTCTGGACCCGCTCCAGGGCCAATGCATCCTTCCTGAGATATGAGGCCCAAAGTTGCTCACAATACCCTAAATGTGATCTAACCAGAACTTTATAAAGCCTCAGAAGTACATCTCTACTTTTATATTCTAGTCATCTTAAAATATTCCGATCCTCTTAAGATAAATGCCAACATTGTACTTACCTTCCTAACTACCAACTCAATCTACAAGTTTACCTTCAGAGAAACCCGGACCAGGACTCCCAAGTCCCTTTACACTTCAGATTTCTGAGTTTTCTTCCCATTTAGAGAATAGTCTACACCTCTATGCTTCCGACCAAAGTGCATGATCTCACACTTGCCCACGTTGTACTCCATCTGCCACTTCTTTGCCCACTCTCCTAAACTATCTAAATCCTTCTGCAGCCTCCCTGCCTCCTCAATCCTACCTGTCCCTCCACCTATCTTTGTATGATCTGCAAACGTAGCCAGAATGCCCTCAGTTCCTTCAGCTATATCATTAATGTATAAAGTGAAAAGTTGTGGTCCCAACACAGACTCTTGTGGAACACCACTAGTTACCAGCTGCCATCCTGAGAAGGACCCTTTTTCTCCACTCTCTGCTTTCTGCCAGACAGCCAATCTTCTATCCATGCCAGCATCTTGCCTGTAACATTATGGGCCCTTATTTACTCAGCAGCCTCCTGTGAGGCACCTTGCCAAAGGCTTTCTGGATGTCCAGATAGATAGCATCCATTGGCTCTCCTTGGTCTCACCTGCTCATTACCTCCTCAAAGAATTCTAACAGATTTGTCAGGCATGACCTCCCCTTGATGAAGCCATGCTGACTTTGCCCTATTTTACCGTGCACTTCCAAGTATTCAGAAATCTCATCCTTCACAATGGGCTCCAAAATCTTACGATCAAGGTCAGGCTAATCAGCCTGTAATTTCCCATCTTTTGCCTCACTCCCTTCTTAAACAGAGTGGTTACATTAGTGATTTTCCAGTCCCCTCGGGCCATCCCTGACTCCAGTGATTCCTGAAAGATCACCACTAATGCCTCCACTATCTCTTCAGCTATCTCCTTCAGAACTCTGGGATGTAGTCCATCTGGTCCAGGTGATTTATCCACCTTCAGACCTGTCAGTTTTTCTAGCACCTTCTCCTTGGTTATGGCCACCAGACTCACCTCTGCTCCCTCCCGACTCACTTGGATTTTTGGGATATTACTCTTGTCTTCCATCGTGAAGATGGATGCAAAGCACTTATTGATTTCCTCAGCTATTTCTTTGTTCCCCATTACTACTTCTCCAGTGTCATTTTCCAGTGGCCCAATGTCCACTTTGGTCTCTCTTTTGCCCTTTAGGTCACCCAAGGGTGGAATTAATCCCTGGCACTGTGAGGCAGCAGTGCCTGTCATTGAGCCACTTGTACCACCCCAATTCTGTGCCATCTTCCATGACTAGACATCGTCCAAAGAGTTTTATGGCTGGTGAGGTACTTTTGAAGGGTACCCTCTGTTGGAAGAACATCACCCAATTTGCACACAGCAAGCTCCCACAAACAGCATTGAGGAAACTACTAGATCATCTGTTTCAGTGACAGCTGATAGATAAATATTGGCCAGGACATCAGGGAGACTCCTGTGTTTCTCGTTAAATAGTTCCATGGGATCCTGGTTTGATTTGATTTATTATTGTCAAACGTATTGAGATACAGTGAAGAAGGATCCCAATCCGAAACATCAAATTTCCTGCTTCTCTGATGCTGCTGTGTTCCTCCAGCTCCACACTGTGTTGTCAGTGAAAGGTGTTGTTTTGCGAGCTACACCAGACAAATCATACCTTATATAAGTACATCAGAGTAATAGAGCAGGATGCAGAATGTAGTGTTACAGCTACAGAGAAAGATCAACTCGAATATGTAAGAGGTCCGTTTATAAGTCTGATAACAGCAGGGAAGAAGCTGTTCTTAAATCGATTGGTACGTGTTTTCAAACTTTCATATACTTCATACTTCTGGAGTACTGTGTCCAGTTCTGGTCGCCCTGTTGTAAAAGGATATTATTAAACTGCGGAGGGTTCAGAAAAGATTTATCAGGATGTTGCCGGGAATGGGAGGTTTGAGTTATTAAGAAAGGGTGGATAGGCTAGAGTGTAGGAGGTTGAAACGTGACCTTATAGAGATTTACAAAATCAAGAGGGGCATAGATAAGGTGAATAAGCAAGAATATTTTCCCTAAGGTGGGGGGAATTCAAAACTAGGGGGCATATTTCTATGGTGAGAGGAGAAAGATTTAATTTTTTTTCCACACAGAGAGTGGTTCGTGTGTGGAATGAACTGCAGAGGAAGTGATGGATACAGGTGCAGTTACAACGTTTAAAAGACCCTTTGGGTAAGTACATGAATAGGAAAGGTTTGAAGGGAGTTTGAGGGGTCAGGTGCAGGCAGGTGAGATTAGTCTAGTTTGGGCACATGGTTGACGTAGAGTGGTTGGACCAA